GTTTAATTTCAGACCATCCTTTGTGATTCCTTTAGGTCTCTGAGTTTGCAAGACCGCCATGCAGGCCTCCCCTGAGCTTGTCAGGTCAGCATGTGGCCGCTTTCGTCCACACCTTCTTCGCACATCATTGCCTCTCCCAAACCATTCTCCCTCCCCATTCTTCAAACACCCCGATTTAATTCTCGTACAGTTAAGATTACACACGAGGTTACCCTCCTCCTTTCTTCTCCCTACTGCCCCTAAATTGAACATTTCCTAGTTTGAGAATAATTTTTAATTTCGTGGCTCATTGTTCACTTTTCCAACAATACTGTAATCATTGAAGACATTTAGTCATGCCTATCGAAAAATTTCTGCTCGTGGATTCGGGAGAGGGAAACACTAGCCCTCAGTGTCGTTCTCCACGTTACCGCGGTGAGGGCGACGGGGCGAACTTCGTTCCCACGACTTCGTGGTCCTGGTGGTCCCTCTCCGCAGGGTACCGAGCACTTCCGCTTGAGGCGAGCGAGAATGCGGACGAGTCCCCGGGCTTTCTGGGAAGTGTAGTCCACAGATCCCTCAGAGTCGCGGACACTTCCGCCTGGGCGCCGCCGGGGCAGGGGAATTCTGGGAAGTGTATTTCCAGCGTTGCGCTTCCTCCCTGGGCGCCTAGGTGACTGTCTGCGCTAAGTGGGCTCTGCGGTAAGTGGGCTCCGTGTTTGCCCAGCCTCCCGAACTTCTCTGGGTCCCGGTAAAACCCGGCCGGCCACCGGTTTGGGAGGAAGAGGCTGTATCCGAAAGCGGGGGTGTCAGGGCTTGGGCGGCAGGCATTCCTCTCGGCGGGGCGCGTCCGCGTCTGGGGCGGTCGGGTCCGGTGTCCCCAGCGCTTGCCGCCTGGGCGCCGCCGGGGCCGCGCACCGTCCATCCGCTCTGCGGTTTCCCGAGGCAGAACATTGAACGAATTACCTACACCTCTGTCTCCGACGTCTCTCTGTGAAGTTGGGATGACAGGATTATCTTAATGCAGCGGTTGGAGTATTAAACGAGAGTATCCGGAAAAGTCTCCAGGCAGTTCTCGGCAGGTGGCCAATGGTGGCTTCTTGTGGTCCGTACTTCTCAGTTTTGGGAAGTGCTCGTTCCCCCGGAAACCGGGGAGTGCGATGGGTTTGGAGCTGCAGCTGCGGTGCCCAGACATTTACTTCCCTGTGATCTCTGTAGGAAGCTGGGAAGGATCAATTAACAGTGACTTCAAGCCACTCCTGGCTGGGAAGGAGGAGGCAGTGCGGAAGGCGCCGTACAGCTCTGATTTCTCGGACAGGGATGTTAGAAACAGGACAGGGCCCAGAAGGAGTCAGTTAGGCTCAGCCTCCTGTCTCCGCACTGAGACTTCCTGACAATTCGTCTCTCCCAGGAGTGGAATCTTAAACTAGTCCATCAGGAATCTCCAGATGAGCACTAGGTAGGTCAGCTCATGGACCTTTGCCTTCCCCTGCAGGAACGTGGCCTTGCAACGCCCAAGAGGCTGCTTTGTTCTGCTATAACTTCCTTATTCTTGCTCTAGTCTGCATGTTTATTTGTTTAATCTTTATTTTAAAGATTTGTTGAGAGGATTGCAGATGTCCCTCTTCCCGCCCCTCCTTCTACCCAGTTCCCGCTCCAGCCCAGGCCTTCACCACCCTGTTGTCTGTGTTCATAGGTGATGCATATTTACATATAAGGTTTTAGGTTAATCTCTCCCCTTCCCTTCTCCCCCTTCCCTCTGAGATTCGTCAGTCTGTTCCATGTTTCCATTTTATTCATCAGTTTATTTTGTTCATTAGATTGATTGTTCGTTTATTTTGATTTTTTGATACAATTGTTGATAGATCTGTATTTATTGCCATTTGATTATTCATCTTTTTTCTCCTTCTCCTCTTCCCCCTCCCCCTCCTCCTCTACTCCCTCCTCCTTCTCCACCTCCTCTTCTTAAAGAATACCCTTCAAGCCAAAACCGATTTGGCTCAGTGGATAGAGCGTCGGCCTGCGGACTGAAAGGTCCCAGGTTTGATTCCGGTCAAGGGCATGTACCTGGGTTGCGGGCACATCCCCAGTGGGAGATGTGCAGGAGGCAGCTGATCGATGTTTCTCTCTCATCGATGTTTCTGACTCTCTATCTCTCTC